GAGGGGGGAGAGTACTCTATGATTTGTTGGGCAGGAGTGTCCTCTGTGACCCAAGAACCCTTAGCCTTTACCACTCCATGTTCTGCTGCAATTTTGCATCCTAGCTATTCTGGACGTATGTCTTTGTAATATGTCTGCAAGAAAAAGGCAACGAAAAAAGCCGACACTTTGTGAGTTAAGTGCGACCTTGCATGGTACAAACCCGGCTTGTTTTAACAGCATTTAATAATACACCAGTAATTGCAAGTTCACAAATATGTTTCATCCCTAGATTACCCAATCCACGAGTTTGGCCATAGGTCTCCTTTGATTCAAAAGTGAGGGGGTTTATTTCCACAGAAAGACATTTTTGTGATAGTCTTTTGCATTGTTATCAATATCCAAACATCGCCACTCTTGTTATCTTCTGGAGAATTTATTCATATTTTTGGATACTTACGTTGTTTGTTCTTTTAATGTGTCAAAACAATAGAGTACTAAAGCGTGACGTCAAGATGTGATGACAACCAAATTCTTGGTTCTAGACAAAGTCACGCTAAGCACTCACAGTCGCCACTTTGGATTTGTCATCACTTTTGTGCATTGAATAACTTTGTTATTCTTCACACGACGTTTGTTTTGACCCAAAGAGGACATGGATTTAGATCCAAACGCTGAGTTTCTCGCAAAACTGTGCCGCAGGAAGAGCGATATAATGCTGAACACGACGGTATGAGGATGTTTTTGATCGATTGGTAAGGTCAGGGGTCACCATGATACAGTGCTTTGCTCCAGATTGTAAACATCAGTCGGAATCGCTCACTTGCAAGTTTTTTAGTTTTCCAAATAAAGGAAAGGACAAGGAGGAATATCGCCACTGGTTTCGCTTGTTAAGGTATGAAGCAATGCTATCTAATATTTCATTTGACATTGAAGGATTCGTGATGTTCATTCATGTACTCGAAACCCTCTAGAATCTCGGAAAATTTCAGAAATGTGTATGAGAAATGTTAACATACAGGCTATAAAGCCTAGGTGTTTTCATGAAAACCTGCAGATCTTTTGTGTTGCATGCAGGAAGGTTTCACAATTTTTCACTGTCTGCCTTTTTAGGAGAGCTGATAGAGAACCAAGCCAACATTCTAAGGTGTGTAGCTGCCTCTTCAGAGATGGACTAAAATCGGCAGGACCTGAAATTTTTGAGCGAAATGCTCACAAACTGTTTCCTACACAGGAAAATCCTACTCGGAAGAAAAGGAAACTTGATTCAAAGCTTGCTGCATCTGCATTCTGTGACCTGGCAACTACTACTCAGGGAGAAAATTTGACAGAGCAAATGCGAAATGAAAGCATCTCAACTGAACAAGTAATACTGGAGGCTGAACTAGAGTTGACTAAATAAGAGCTGCTATATATTCTCATTAAGAGATTAAACGTTACCAGAGAACACACTATTCTGTTCAAGTTTGAGTTCAGAAGTCATCAGAATGGAAACAGGGCTCCTTACCAAGGAGGTGTTTACCATTGTAGTGGAATGTGCAGCTCAGTTTATAAGGAATCAATTTCTTACTCTGCTGAGTGGAAAGTCGAGTCGATCGTATTTGAAGATCAAATCTTTCTAACACTTATGAAGTCGCGTCAAAACTACACCAATCTGCACCTAGCACAACTATTTTCTTGTAGCATTTCAACAATATCTAACATTGTCATAACATTTATACATGTCCTTCATGGACTACTTTTTGATGATTTAATGAAAACAATCCCTTCAAGAAGCAAAAACAAGTTGTGTTCACCATCATCATTTGCCACCTTCTCAAAATTCAGAATTGTCATTGGCTGTACTGACATTGAAGTAGCAACACCCAGCCTTATGTGCCGGCAAAATGCTACCTACTCAAGTTGCTGAGGGATGAACTCATTTAAAGTTTTAACAGGAGTAGCACCAAATGGAGCACTGACCTATGTTAGCAATCTCTACCCAAGTTCAATCTCTGATAAGGAAATTGTGCAGCAGTCTGGTATTTTGAGGCATTTTGTTCCTGGTGATCTAATCTTGGCAGATAAGGGATTCCTCATTCAGGATATTGTTCCGAAGGGTGTGAGTGTGAACATACCACCCTTTCTTGAAAACGGCAAGTTTACTGAAAGCAAAGCAAAGGTGACTAAATCAATTGCCAGGTGTTGCACACATGTTGAGAGGGCTATTTGCCCGGCTCAAAGATTTTAGAATTCTCAGTTTTGTGCCCCCTTTTTTAAGGTGTCATATAGACAAAGTGTTTCAGTCATGTGTGGCTCTTGTGAACTTGCAGTTCCNTGTGACCTGGCAGCTATTACTCAGGGAGAAAATTTGACAGAGCAAATGCAAAATGAAAGCATCTCAACTGAACAAGTAATACTGGAGGCTGAACTAGAGTTGACTAAACAAGAGCTGCTATATTCTCATTAAGAGATTAAACAGTACCAGAGGACACACTATTCTGTTTGAAGTTTGAGTTCAGAAGTCATCAGAATGGAAACAGGGCTCCTTACCAAGGAGGTGTTTACCATTGTAGTGGAATATGCAGCTCAGTTTAAGGAATCAATTTCTTACTATACCGGGTGGAAAGTCGAGTTGATCGCATTTGAAGATCAAATCTTTCTAACACTTATGAGGTTGCGTCAAAACTACACCAATCTGCACTTAGCACAGCTATTTTCTTGTAGTGTTGCAACAATATCTAACATTGTCACAACATTTATACATGTCCTCCATGGACTACTTTTTGATGATTTAATGAAAACAATCCCTTCAAGAAGCAAATTAAAACAAGTTGTGTTCACCATCATCATTTTCTACCTTCTCAAAATGCAGAATTGTCATTGACTGTACTGACATTGAAGTAGCAACACCCAGCCTTATGTGCCAGCAAAAATGCTACATGTACCTACTCAAGTTAATGAGGGATGGACTCATTTAAAGTTTTAACAGGAGTAGCACCAAATGGAGTATGGACCTATGTTAGCAATCTCTACCCAAGTTCAATCTCTGATAAGGAAATTGTGCAACAGTCTAGTATTTTGAGGCATTTTGTTCCTGGTGATCTAAATCTTGGCAGATAAGGGATTCCTCATTCAGGATATTGTTCTGAAGGGTGTGAGTGTAAACATACCACCCTTTCTTGAAAACGGCAAGTTTACCAAAAGCAAAGCAAAGGTGACTAAATCAATTGCCAGGTGTTACATACATGTTGAGAGGGCTAATGCCCAGCTCAAAGATTTTAAAATTCTCAGTTTTGTCCCCCCTTTTTTAAGGTATCATATAGACAAAGTGTTTCAGTCATGTGCGACTCTTGTGAACTTGCAGTTCCCTTTATTTAAGGAAGGATGTGAAGGAACAGATTTTGACTTATCAGAGTTAGTAATTAAGCATTATGAACTAAAGTAGAAGAGTGAACATTGCATAAAAGCAGCATAAGAATGTTCTTATGCTTCTTTTATGTAAACTTGTGAACTACATGAATGATGTTATATGGACAAAATGTTTTAGTTAATGAACAGCTTTGTGAACTTGCTATTCCTTTTTTCAAGGAGGGATGTGATGGAACAGATTTTGACTGTTCAGAGTTTAATAAAGTAAAAACAAGTTGTTTTTATCTCACTTCGAGTCTTAACAGCAAAGGGTATTAAAAATTGTTTTTGGTAGTTGAATTTGAGATAGGGGATATTTAGGGGGCTGGAGATATTAATAAAAAAAAAATAGCATATGAAGGGAGAGGGGTAGGGGGAGCAAGTCTGCCACTAAATCTGCAAATAAGAAAAATAATAATCAGAACAAAAGGACATAAGAACCAGGTCAGCTTTAACTTCTGAACCAAAACATTTATTTAACAGTATGTAACTAACATATTTTTTTTATAAATATTTCTGTCGAGAAGAGGTTTCAAAAGAGAATATTTGAAGGAAAAAGTTATTTTGTTACAAAAACTTTGAAGTTCATTTAATTTAATTTGCTTTACGGATCAATGGAAAAAAAAAACTTAATTACTTGAATTTGGTAAATTACTTGAATTTGACAAAATGGTAAATTATTCATATAATTTACCATTTTGCGATGCAGAACCTACAAATGTTACAGTCTTGATAGCTTTCTACAACATTATTTTGTCTGCTGTTAAATTTATTTCTGAGTAGAACATGATGATTGGTAAAATGTTAACAGAATGTCTCTACAATTCACCTTCAGTTATTTTCCAAAAGAGTTCTTGAAGGTAAAAATCTCTAAGTTACTGAACTTTCTCCACCCAAGAATCTTCCCGTTGAATCTCCAAAAAAACAAATTCTATGGATGTCCAGACTACAAAGTAGCATTTCTTTCTTTATTGGTAAAGAACATATGGCCCTGGGATTGGTGCCAATACACATGGTCGTTGAATTTTTCCATCCTTCTTTTCCAGGGAGAAGGATCTGTCTTCTATTAGGTCTCCTCAATTGTTAAGTGTCTTTGGGTGTATGGACACTTTGCCTCCNTGAACATTGCATAAAAGCAGCATAAGAATGTTCTTATGCTTCTTTTATGTAAACTTGTGAACTACATGAATGATGTTATATGGACAAAATGTTTTAGTTAATGAACAGCTTTGTGAACTTACTATTCCTTTTTTCAAGGAGGGATGTGATGGAACAGATTTTGACTGTTCAGAGTTTAATAAAGTAAAAACAAGTTGTTTTTATCTCATTTGGAGTCTTAACAGCAAAGGGTATTTAAAATTGTTTTTGGTAGTTGAATTTGAGATAGGGGATATTTAGGGGGCTGGAGATATTAATAAAAAAGTAGCATATGAAGGGAGAGGGGTAGGGGGAGCAAGTCTGCCACTAAATCTGCAAATAAAAAAAATAATAATCAGCACTAAAGGACATAAGAACCAGGTCAGCTTTAACTTCTGAACCAAAACATTTATTTAACAGTATGTAACTAACGTATTTTTTAAATAAATATTTCTGTCAAGAAAAGGTTTCAAAAGGGAATATTTGAAGGAAAAATGTTTTTTTGTTACAAAAACTTTGAAGCTCATTTAATTTAATTTGCTTTACGGATCAATGGAAAAAAAAACTTAATTACTTGAATTTGGTAAATTACTTGAATTTGACAAAATGCTAAATTATTCATATAATTTACCATTTTGCGATGCGAAACCTACAAATGTTACAGTCTTGATAGCTTTCTACAAAATTATTTTGTCTGCTGTTAAATTTATTTCTGAGTAGAACATGATGATTGGTAAAATGTTAACAGAATGTCTCTACAATTCACCTTCAGTTATTTTCCGAAAGAGTTCTTGAAGGTAAAAATCTCTAAGTTACTGAACTTTCTCCACCCAAGAATCTTCCTGTTGAATCTCCAAAATAACAAATTCCTTGGATGTCCAGACTACAAAGTAGCATTTCTTTCATTATTGGTAGAGAACATATGGCCCTGGGATTGGTGCCAGTACACATGGTCTTTTTTTAGTTGAATTTTTCCATCCTTCTT